ATTTTTTTATGAAAGATAAACTCCACTCAAAAGAATTACATCACAAAATCTTAACACTGTGCATGTAATAAGCTAGAGGATTTTTCTTCAGTCCTAGAATTTAATTACAGTTGATTTAGAAGATAAGAATTAGGAATATAATGTCAATATAAATGGGTTAATGGTGGCAGAAATGTAAATCTTCAAAAAGATTTAGAACAATGATCCTATACATGTATAAATAATTAAAATTTAGATTGTCCTAAATTTCCAGTTTTCTGAAATTCAGGTCTAGTTTATACACCAATAAACTCCAGACACAATATGTTTAATCCTATAATAACATGCCCATCAGATAAAAGGTGGGCATTGGGTCTCTTATGACCAAAATATGGCCGGAGACACATGTATTTAGTTTGTACATCATTAATTTTTCCATCTGACCCTCTAATATTATTAAGATAATAATGACACATCTGCAAAATTTTAATCTGACAAAGGATTTTGACAGATAGGATGTTCTTCTAGATATCTGTAGTTTCTTAAAATCTCTTCGTTTGTAAGATAAAATCAATTGTCTTATCCATTTAATTGTTTATTAACTTATTAACATATACATGTACATGTATTTACACTACTGAGATGTTCCCTTTTTATACCAGTTGAACTTCTACCGATATATTTCAAGGTAAAACTGCCTTAAGTTAGGATAGTCCAATGAATATTAATTCAGTTTCTCACAGTGAAGATCCAAATCATACTTTTTATATTTTTCATTGATCCATATAGCTATTTGTATTTTATGATTAACATGTATTCACTGCACTGGAGATGATGTACCTTTCTAACGAATCAGTTATAGATACAAAATATAAAATTAATCTAACTATCAGCTGTTTAGACAAGCCTCTATCACTTTGTTCATCAGGTACGCTTAAAACTTATGAATAAATGCTTTTGTGATTTTTTATTAATGTTCATTTCATTTGATTTTACTGCTTTAAAATTTGTTAGAAAAAATGTATATTTTCTTATGAACATAGAAATGTATCAGTTTGTTTCTTTAAGTTAAAAGTTATTTCAAAGAACTATTCATATCATTAATAAATGCAAAATAACAATTATTTACTTTTGATGTGCTTCTTCAATGACAACTTCCTACCAAAAATATCATTACATACTTGTGTGTACTTCGGAATAAACTTCCTTGTGTATATCAAAGGTGAAAGACTATACCTCAAGTATGGTAATATGGTATACCACAACTCAATATGCTAGTACTACTCACTGAACAAATTAATAAGCATTGCAATTCCTTTTGCCTGAAGAAATTTAATGCCACAAAAATTTTACAAATCTTTGGTCAATTCATGGCTTAAAAAATGTTAGTGTCAACCCAAGGATGTTATTACACATTGTTATCAAACATGTAACCACCTTGACCACAAATCAATATTTTGCAGCAACAATGCACTTTATGAAATTAATAACTATTGCTTTGGTGATTTAAAGCTACTTAACACTTCCAGGTAAAAAGTCTGGGCTTATTATATGTAACAATATTGATGAAATGTATCATTGCTCATCCTGCACATGGTTGATACAATACAATTTTTATAGATATTTTTTCTTCAATTCCATCTACAGGATTCCATGTAGGTATGAACACATTAAACATGACCAATACCAGGTCTGGACCTGTGTCGCTGCATGCATGTAGGTATGAACACATTAAACAAGACCAATACCAGGTCTGGACCTGTGTCGCTGCATGCATGTAGGTATGAACACATTAAACAAGACCAATACCAGGTCTGAACCTGTGTCGCTGCATGCATGAAGGTATGAACACATTAAACATGACCAATACCAGGTCTGGACCTGTGTCGCTGCATGCAATTGATCGACTAAGTATAACTGATCATTCTCTTTCACTAATGCCAAGAAAACTTTGACAAAGATTTTCCTTGTACAATGAGTATTGTTAATTTCATTCTGATATCATTACAGGTTGCATATATTTATATATACCTGGCATGTTAAATTTTACCTATTCATGCAATGATCATTAAACACTTTTCACTGTCGAGTATCTAAATCCCTAAAACATACCTACATTTTCACAAGCCATTATGATTCCTATCTGATATTACTACAGTTACCCACCCCTCTGAACCTCTAATATAGGATGTGATACACCTACTGAATGCACTCATATAAGCACCCTAACTGTCAAGTTTCTGTACCCCTCACTAAACCTTCAGTTAGCTTCCCCTATATGAAATGGATGCATTGAAAGCTACAATTCTCAATCTTTCATTAAATACATACTTTTTCACAAGGTATTATAATTCCTCTCTAATATCACTACTTATCCCTGGAATTTTTAAACCAGGTAGTAAATACATGGTCCATTACATCAAATTACAGAGCCTTCAGGCCAAAAACATCTCACTAAATACAGCAAGTCAAATGACCCAACAAATTATACAAATCATTTATTTTAAAATTATACCATCATTAACATGATGTGAAGTGACCCAAAATACTATAAACAAATAATTTAACCTAACTTCCGGCTTGAAAACTAGAGTTAATATGACCCAATAAATTATAAAATTAATTCATTTCATCCTACTTTATGTTGTGCTTGAGTTTAATTACACAAATATATTTCATCAATTAAGTCCAAAAACAAAATCTTTCATTTAAACTCATTTAATGACCAAATATAATTATACAAAAAAATATTTTTATAGGGTCCCAATCCATTGGAAAAGCCCAAAATGTTGAAACCTCAATACTTTGGAATAATTTTTAAATTCAGATTTAATGTATTGTATTCTTTACCTTAATTGCTGAAGTTTAAGTGTTTAGCTAAAGACAATGAAGTGACCAAAAACTGTCCAAGTATATATAATCAAAGAGGAACCTAATCAATCATCAACTCATTTTTCACCCTCATCTAATCCTCAGATATAATATTGTGAAATTGATTTTTAAACTCAATTTTTCTTCAAATTTATTTATCAAATTGTAGGACTTGTGTACTCCCTCACAGTTCATTCCACAATCACTTACATTTTATATTAGATTATGTAACCCACTAATAAATATTAAACAGTCACTAGTCCTCCCTTATAGTTCAACTTTCCATTGTAAGTATCTTATAATAGTTTTATTGTTCTACCCGTAACAGTGGTATAAGGACTAATTGTACCTACTTGAGTACTATACCTATGATGTATAACATCTCACCTGGGCGTACCTGTCTCGTATAGTCTAGGTGACAATCTTAACACACTATAAATCTCTTGATTATCACAAGTTTAATTCATACCTTGAATTTATGAATGATAGATTATATACCATGTCTTTATTACTGAGATAGTGCAATAATTGAGATAAAATATCACTGTCAAAATTTATGTAAGACAGATTATCTACTTGCAGCCATAAAATTGTCAACAATTTTAATTAAAATTTATAGGATGAAAATCAGAATATATTCATCAAAAATAAATAATCACAATCAAAGAGATAACATATTGGATAAATATGTTTCATAATATTCTCATAATTTTACAAAAACATTTTTGTAAATTGTACATAAAAAATGAATAAGGAATTACTAAAGATATTGGACAATTGGAGGCTCCCATTTCCATAAAAACCTATAGCTACATGTAAAGTTTACTGAATAACTTAAAATTCAACCACACCTTCTTGTAACTCCAAATTCTTTTTTTTTTCAGACATATTCCCAAAATGCAAAACACAATAAATATCATTATCATGTGCCCCCTACCCCCCTTTCGGTTTTAAAATTCAGATCCTACCCCAACAAAAGGCATTTGCAGTTAAAACAATACATTTTTAGTTTAGCTGTGGAATATTAAAGTCAACATGGTAATTTTAAAAGCATCAACCTAAAGTGAAATAATTTCAATGTGCAAGGACCCACCCATCCACCCCCTCGTCCATATTTGTGCATGAGGGTTATTTCTAAAAGTGAATAAAAGGATGTATCTAAGGAAAACATCAATTTGGGCAGAATATATTACATAAAATGAAATTAACATTATAAATTTCAGATATGCACCTCAAATAAGTGAAATTGTTTTACAAAGTGAATATAAATATATTATATAACGATTATATTAAGTTTAAGTTTGGATAACTGTATAAATAACACTAATGCTTAATCCCATTATATAATAAACATACCTGCACATTATATAATACTTCCATCCATTTGAATTTATAAAAAAAACAATTTTAAAGAAATAACTACAAGTTTTGTGTTGTGTGAGGTTATTACAGGTAACCGACAGGTGAGATGTCCCTTCAGACAGGAAGTTAATGACATTCTTGTTAGTCTTGTCAAAATTTTTATAAATACCGTCTCTACTTAGTTCCATTATCTATCTTGTATAATTAATTACAATTACATTACTGCAACACTTGCATAAGCATCAATCTTAAATTATAATTAATCTGATTAATTCCTAAAACAACTACTTTTTGGCAAGTTTATGTATTTCTCCATTTCAACAATACTTTATGTTAACAAAGAACTATAATTTTATAGAAAGTTGAAATTGTGAGCAGAGCTTACTAATTCCTACCTCCAGCCCATTTTTTTGTTTAGATATATAATGAATAGCTGTTGTTCTGCTTAAAGAAAAAAATTGGGAAAAGTGCTAATTGTGATGCACAATACCATAAGGTACTAACATGTGATTAACAACTCCATTAGGTACTACCATGTGACTAACAACTCCATAAGATACTAACATGTGATTAACAACTCCATTAGGTACTAATTATTATGTAAAAGTTTCACCGAGATTTACGCGTTAGAGGAGGTCTTGCATATCTTTGCCACCAAAAATCATATAAATATTGTTATTCACAAGACATCCAAAATTACGCATTTACTGTTAAAGTTCAGGAACGGACTCATCTCAAGAAATTTAAGAATGGTAGTTATTAATAAAAAGTAATAATATTTTTCTAACCTCTTCAGGACTTTTTGTCAAAAATACATGACAAAACTGGCTGTCAATGTGTCCCTTTGGTTCTCTGGCAAGGAAGGAAAACTGACGAAACTCTGGTTCACAAGTAGCATAAGAAATTCTCTTCAAAGCATGAGCCATATACACACTCTGTAAAAAAAGTTAATTCTCTTGATTCATACTCATATTATGTAACAAAGAAAATTTTCTTCAAAGCACATCCAGATATATATACTCAGTCAAAAAGTAAACTCTAGTTTACATGAAGCACAAAAACTATATTCTATATAAGGCATGGAGCATATAAAAGAAGAAAATAAAATTAAAGCATGAGTATGTACAAACCTGTAAAAAAGATGAAACTATAAAGAGCACAGGAAATTTTTTTTGGTGTATGGGCACTACAAAAAGTTTCACCACTGGTATATTTTGTGAAAATTGGGGAGTGTACCAGCATGCACACACGTAAGTATATTTACAAATGTTCCACAAAATAAAACAATTCTTTTGAACTGTACGAGAAGTTTATAACTATACCTACATATGTGATAGAATGTATTGATAGACAGACAAACCAACAGACAGACTTGATAGGATGTATTGATAGACAGACAAACCAACAGACAGACTTGAAGTTTGGATGGAAGAACAGGCAGGGTTAGATTATTATCATCACTTTCCCTTGTGGGGTATATAAATTTTAGACAAAACCCTAGCTCACATCAACCCTCAAATCCCATTAACCTCTTCCAAAATAAAATTTAAAAAAATTATCAACCAGAATGAGTACCCATATATATATATATATATATATATTAAAGTTTGTGTTTTTAAGGATTATGAAGTCTTGACTTAGTTTTTACAAGTATGCAGAATCATGTTAAAGCACATAGAATGCAAGATAAAGGTAAGAATTATGCAATAAAGTACTTTAGTACCACATATCAGTAAACACTCTTGTCCTCATCTGACCTGTCATGACACCAGATAACCTCCACATACTTAACATGACCTGATGACAAATCAGTTCAAATATTTAAACTATGACCTTGAAATAATGAAGTTGTAAGGGCAAGCAGGGGTGGTTTCAGAATTTTTGAAAGAGGGGGCGTAATTTTAGAAAAGGGTATACTGCTGAGAAGAGTCTACTTATACCTTTTTTATTTCTTACTTCATTCAATGTTAAGGCAATTCCATATTTCCCAATCATGTCAATTTTAAGTTTACTTAAATTGAACTATGTAAGTTTACTTAAATTTAACTATGTAAGTTTACTTAAATTGAACTATGTAAGTTTACTTAAATTTAACTATGTAAGTTTACTTAAATTGAACTATGTAAGTTTACTTAAATTTAACTATGTAAGTTTACTTAAATTTTACAAGAAATTGAATGATTTGTAGCCTTAACAAACAACAAATCATAACTGACCAAAATCTTCAAGTTTTTATTATTATCATAAACAAAAGTGAACCAACGCCTGGTGATTCTGTAGTACAATAGAATCCCTTTTATATAGTTTTTATTACTATTTAATTTCATTAGAACAATAGAGTGCTATCAACACAGGTTTTTCTAGCAAACAGAGAAGAAAATATTGCATAACTTATAACCATTTACTACTGTATTCTGATATCCTGGATCATTATTACAATTAATTATTTCAAGATTTAATTCAGATTTTATCTATAGGAAAACTAGCATATCACAGTAAAACATACAACTGTCAACTTATAGAAATAAGCAAATAACATCACTTGTCAGTGTCGAGTGGTCTCAAGTACTGATGTAATCTTACCACTGATGTACTGGCATGGTATACCTCATACAACCAGTAATTTGTGGGTCCATGTCTCATTATTTCAAATATTTTCATTACAGTCTTCCAAAACTAGACAAATCTAAATCTAATTTTAGCTCATCATTAATAATTAACAAAAATTCAAAAAGCTATAAGTTTATCAAATTTATGTCTTAATTTTTATTACTATTATGCTATTTATTGTGAAACTTTTGATCTTATTTTATCTAGAACTAAAAAAAACACCCAGGAAAGTAGATCACAAATAACTTTACAATTTATAAGACTTTTAATACAATCTATAAAGATTAAATCTTGGAAAATGGCAAATGGATTTAAAGAAATACTGAAATGTGTTGGTGCCACTTTGTAAACATACCAAGTTACTTAAGAGAAAAATTTCTGGCATGATTTATATAACACATGGAATGATCAAGGAACTCATTGGTTCTCATTTTCTTAATGTAATGAATTTTACAAAATTGTGTCCATTTGAGAAGAACTAATAAAATATAGTTACCTCCCCATTACTGCTACAGACTTTCACACCAGTCAATGAAATCACCAACATGATGTTTTTACTCTTATCTGGTTGCTGTAAAATAATAAATCTAATTATAAAATATCTTAAAATTTTATTTTAAAACATGGTTTATATATATCAAATTGTATTTTGAGATGATAAGAGTATAGTATGACATTATCACTGTCATGTCCATGTATTTATACCTTTAATCGATATAAAACATGTAGCCCTCATTGTTAAATGAATTGGATACCCTGCATTTATCATGCTCTTCCATAACATATGGTCAAATCGCTTAAAGAACATGCCCTAAACCATTGAAAACTATCATTCTGCTTTGACAATAATATCTTGGTGATAATTAGATACACCCATTCTGGTTAACCCCCTCAAAGTGTATCTAATATGAAAAGTCACTACCTTCTGGCTACAGACCCAAATTATAGTTAGAAATCCTTGAAACATGTACAATAATGATTAATAAACTGTTGACTCAGAGATATGTCTTGCCTGTATGCAATTTTAGATGTGCAAAAGCTTATACAATAGCATACCAAATATCATTAACTTATCATTAATTTAGTGGTTCTCCTAAACTGACCTAAACACAAACTTTTACATGCTTCCTATGCAACAGTTTCAAATTCAATAGACCATGACTGAGGGAGCAGTGCCAAATAATCTCCATAGAAATGCGACGTGCCAATGCTTGTACAACTGCATACCAAATATCTTTGACTTATCATAAGTGGTTCCCCTTCAACTGACCTAATCTCAAACTTTTAACAAATTGTCGAAGCTGCTGACGCGTTGACATCTCGGAAGCATATTTTCATTCGTGACTGGAACTGACTCTCTGTATTGGTGTATATGTGTGCATTGTTACAACTTTTTTTATTTGAAATAAATCTATAGATGAAATTTTTTGGCTTCTAGGTTTTTTGGTTTTCATTTTAATCCTACCCTCATTTTTTCCATTTCTTTTTGTACAAACTCCGTCCTGGCATTTTGATCACTTCCTGACACAGAAAACGAACCAATATACTGAAAAATAAAATCATAAGTTACCAACCAACCAATATACTGGAAATTAAAATCATAAGCTACCAACCAACCAATATACTGAATATATAGTTTACTTTTGTATGTAGCTGTCCCTTCAACTTTACACTGATTTTCAATGAAACTGCGCAACTAGAATTTTCATCACAAGAAGAAGACTTTATAGAGGAAAAAAACTTTCTATGTTCTTTTTAATTAAAAATTATGTATGTAACACTACCAGAATCTCAGTTTACCTCAAACTGATGTGCTTTATATCTATTTATACTTTTGAATGGTGTCTTGTATAAAAAATCATAATTATTACATAATTTCAGTTTTTTCATTGTAACTTGATACCCCATGATTTTTTTTTCTTAAAAAGTCCTTAAATCATGATGTTTTGTCATTCTGGGCACACAAAAGTCCACATGAACTACTTCCTTGCAGTGAAGATAGGAAAAAATTACCCTATGCAGGTTGCAGTCTTGTAATTGACTGCTCCATAGGCTTACATGCAAAACAGCTGATCTTTGAAAATAAAAAAATAAAAAATGCTACATAGAAAAAAAATTTCATGTTCATATCATGTATGTACTAATGTGAAATTGTGATTTAATCGAAAAAAAAGTGGGTCATGCCACGAAGAATAAAAAGTTACGTAACCCTGAAGTCAAAACAATTTTTTTCTACTTTCTGTTTGTTGTTTTTACTAGGCCGCACCACTTCCAGTAAACATGATATCCTTCCACTTTCTTGGATTGATATCCTCAAAAAGATGCAAGATTTTTTTAAATCTATATATATGTTTCAATTCAGCATAAACTTTTTAATCAAACAGAAAAAGTTGAGTCCAGAAAAAAATTCAGAAAAAATGGACTGTTTTATTTACCTCCATGTTTTGACATGCACCGGAAACTAGAGTTGTAATACAAGACTGGTACCTTAATGCCCCCTCTGCCATGGCAGGGGCATAAAAAAAAAACCTTCCATTTTAATGTGTATAAAATTTGTTATCAAGGAAGGTTTTACTTCCTAGGAATTTGAAATTTCTAGATCTATAAAAGATGCAATTGCAAACTGCATGGTATTTATACATGCAACTTCTTTTAGATTAATTTCTTCAAATCAGGAAAAAAATAGGTCATTTAGGAAAATGAGGAAATAAAGACTAAATTCTCAGATTTTAAATGTCATAAAAAGACTGATGATGTGAGAAAAATATGCTGGCTAGTATTTACTATATCTCATACTAAATTATGTTGAGTTAAGAGACAGAAAAATTGAGGGAATGATCAAAATTACCAAATTTCACCAGCATATACTGCGAAAACTTTCAATGAGTATGAATGTAAATGTCAGACCAAAATCTTTTTGTGGTTATATAGTTATATCGTTATTTCATCAGAACCAAGATATACTTTTCTGATGCCCTTTATGGGTTCTTGATTATACTTGTATATTAACCCAAAAACTTTCAATGCTATTTACATTTCATAATTGTACCTCCCCAACTATCTTTATCTTAAAAATAATCATAACAATGTTTTTGCTAGCATTTCTTAAATAATTATCATAATACAGTTTTTTCTAACAAAAAATCTGATCATAAAATGATTATCAGTGCCTGGCAGGGACCTCATATTTACCTGTAAGAACAATTTATTAACTTTTTTGTTCCATAAATAAAACATTTTACATCACAACACAGCAGGGGAAACCTTTATGTCTGATGATTCTGATAATTGTTGATAGTTTACTGTATAAGTACCAATTGGGCTGTGAAACTTTCACCCCTGACTTTAAGATAAGTTACTGGTTAGCATATTTCTAGTAGATAAATAAAGTAGAGGTAGAGATCAATAAGACAGCATTCAAACAACATAATTTAACAAAAAAATTAAAATATTATTGTTAACAAGTGTCTGTTTATTATTTTACACACTTTGCTTTACTATTTCAATAAAAGAACAAAGTTCCAATGTTCCCGGCATTGCACATATTTTATCTATCCAAGGGCATAAACTAAATATCTAATTTACACCAAGATATTATTGTCAATGCAGAATGATAGTTTTTTAATAATTTAGGAGGAGGGTCTTTCAGCGATTTGACCATATGTTATTGAAAAGCATGATAAATACAGGGCATCCCATTTCAAATTACGACATCTTGGTGTAAAAATATATATACGTTGTACCAGTATAGTACTGTATGACAAATATTTGGGTATAAATTATAAAAACTTTTTGCATAAGATTTTGTTTTAAATATTCAAAGTTGTTACTATAAGAAGAAGATTATTATAAAGAGGATTTCTAAATATTTAGTCACTGTCTGAGATATATATTAATATATATAATTATGCAGACCTCTTTAATTAAACTTGCGATAATTTTTCGTAGGAAGCAATATATGACAATGGATTCAGCAGCGGTTGAGTACTTTTCTCCTTCCATCACATAATGGCAGAAAATCAGAAAACAATTGACTTAATAATTAATTTAATCATCAAATAGTTTGTCCTGAAGGTAATCATATCAAATTACTATAAATAGGTAATAAAGATGATAGTTGTTAACTGATTTTTTCATTGTATGTTTTGAAATGCCCCCTCAAATTTTTTATCTGACAGCATGCAGACAGTTTTTTTCTGCTGATATTTGATTTTCTGACATTATGCCACATTGATAAGGGTACAACAGGCGAGAAGAAAGCACTACTGGGGAAAATTATCTTAATTAATAAGACCCCCTTCTCCTGTGTATATATGAAACAGACAATTGACATAAATAGTTCTCACATACATTTTATAGTTCAGGTTATCTTGTCTGATATGTCATGTAGGCAGGCATATCTATTTTCATTAAAGATTTCATGGGAATATTTTTTTTCTTCATGATCTGCAAAATTTCATTTTATTTGAGAAAATCTTTATAAACAATATTTTCTATTTTTAAATTAATTCAAAAAATACAACTAAATTGCTCAGACAGCAAATTTGATAACCACTGTTACAGAGGATATTCAACATTTAATTTAGAAAACAATATCCCTTTATTCATTGCAAATGCTACATAGTATAGAAGTCAAATTTGTATTTCTGTTATGTCTATGTACACTCAGTTGAACAATTTCACCAGTGATATAAATACCTATATACCTTTACCTATCTCTGACTTTTATCTGACATGTTTATGAATATTTGTGATACTATTTAACATTTCAATGTAAGCCAAGCATGACAATTTATTTCTACCTCTTTACTTTAACATCAATGTCAAAACACTGATATAAGTTTTGTCTTGTAATATAAATACAAATATTACAGGTTTATTGCACTAATATTGAAATATTATATTGCCAAATCTTCTAGTGTATAATCCTGGCATCAAAATTTTGGAGAAAAAAAATCAATTTTAGACATCATAGAGGTCTGCATAGATATATATATATATATTTATGGACTAACATACAATAGTTGAATACACAAAATTCATACAAAACATTGTGTATCAAGCTCTTAATCAGTAAGTCAAGAAAAGTTGTGAATACATGTAACACTCATAAGGGACATAAGTAAATCATAAAGATACGACTTACAGCAACCACTGACTCTGTGTTGTAAGTATATTGTAAAACGCATTTGTGACCTTCTAATCCCCAAAAGACAAAGGAAACTATTCAAAAATAGTACTGTTATTCCTAAATACACTAGATCAGGTACGAGGTGACCAATAAATCAGGCTCTTTGTGATAAATTAAAGACATATAGCTACCAATTTGTACAAGATTTTTTTCTCTGGTGTTTTGAACTTTAATGAAGTCAAACTCCTGTACTACCAAAGACTTAAATTTCAGATTCTTTTTCAAACGGGAAAAAGAAACAAATATGCCAGCTCAGACCATGGCATTAGATTATTAAACTAATATTTTTCCATGATACATCATGATACATGTACATGTAAAATTGAGAATGGAAATGGGGAATGTGTCAAAGAGACAACAACCCGACCATAGAACAGACAACAGCAGAAGGTCACCAACAGGTCTTCAATGCAGCGAGAAATTCCCGCACCCGGAGGCGTCATTCAGCTGGCCCCTAAACAAATATATATACTAGTTCAGTGATAATGAACGCCATACTAAACTCCAAATTGTACACAAGAAACTAAAATTAAAAATAATACAAGACTAACAAAGGCTAGAGGCTCCTGACTTGGGACAGGCGCAAAAATGCGGCGGGGTTAAACATGTACATCTATTATCATAATTAACAAATTATATATACATGTACATGTATTAACAAAGTCAACTAAAGGACAAACTATACAATAAAACATACATAAAATTCAATGACAAGAAGTTACAAATTAATAAGACCACTAATTTGTAGTACAAAACCTATGCATGCTTATCAGAGAAGCAGCAATATAAGTTTTAAGAGACATTGGTTTGACCGTAGGTCGGATATTGAACCTGGCAGAACATCATCTACTGTGGATTCATTATTACTCGTGGGATACTAATTTTCTATTTCATGGGTAAAGATAACCCACGAGTATAAATGTCCATGAAGTACAATTTTTCTATAGATCTGAAAGGAGACTTTGGGCAAAACCATGATAAACTAGAGGATTCCGAAAATCTGGCAAAAATTCAAAAACAAGAGGAGCAAACATCCGTAAACACCCAAACAAGAGATTATGATTTATACGGTCATATGTACATTTATTATCAGGATCACTTCTGGAAGTTTTACAAACATTTCCCAATTTGAACTATTATCTGCAAACTGATACCATAACTACAAGACTAGAGCAACCTGATCCAAGTTCATTGTTTTCTCTGAAAGGTTAAAATCCTCTAACATTCAGAGTAATTGACATATTTATGTCATTTCTTGATGGTCATTGTACCTTAAATATTTCTACTTCCTTATTTACAACTCATGGGACATATTTTCTACTTCCTTATTTACAACTCATGGGACATATTTTCTA